TTATTTAACTCTAGTATAAGTTTGTCATATCCATCATTAATAAAAATTATATTACGTCAAGTTCTGCAGTTTTTAAAAAAAGTAAATCTTTATAGATTGAATACTACAACGTAATCGTTTTTCAAAGTAATTTGCTAGAACTTCGATGCAAATCAAGAGTTAATCGAATGAGCTCATTGTTATCAAGACAGCTTCGATTTCAAGTCTGCTTCCCTTCCATTTCAATGCAAATGGAGATTAATCGATTAGCAGACTAGGTCGGGACGTCTGCGCCAATAACAGATATATATCGACTGAAGCTGAAATTAATTAGGACTTAGAGGTATAAACGCCTTGTACCGAATTAACGTATTTTATAAAATGTAGGAAAAGACATGATTAAATATGAAAAAATCCAATATATTTTTGTCATGAAATCTATGCTGATTTTTCGTTTTCGACGGAAATTATATAAGAAAGTATATTATCAACATGATTAAATTGAACCACGTTTACCGATTGGCGATAAGGTATGATGGATATAAAAGCCCTGGTGAAGGCTGGGTTTCATTGAAAAATATTATTATATGTAGAAAATATATTCTGATTATTGGGCTATTTTAATAAACAAATTATTTAATGTACGATTATTATTTAACAAATTATTATTAATTCGCTGAGTCAGAGCGTCTCTGTGGGATTAGTTATATTTTTATATTATAGGACTCCCTCTAATATACAAAATAACTAATAATAACTTATTTTCAATAGATATATTTACTACTATAATAATATTGCCAATGTATCTCTAAGGGCACACGGTGACGATCATGAGAGCATAGATATAACGCTGGAGCCCCAATATTTTTTTATGGCATTTAAAAAGCTGACGGCCCACCTTATGGTAAGGATGACCAACCGTCCTCTTTATACATACATTACGGATGACTAACATGTCATGCCTCTTAACCTATAATTTTATTGACTTATCATCCTTCGTTGAAATAGCCGAGTCTGAGTTACCCGCGCGGACGACTTGGACTAGCCTAGCTTGCAATAATATCCAGCAATTTGTTGTTCAGCTATTATTTCAATGTTCCTGAAAGTCAATTAACAACATTGCATTTCATATCAATCGTAGATTGATAACGTTAATCCCCACTAATTAAAAATACAATTTAGCTATTAGCACTTCAACAATGTGTTTTGTTGAAGTGCTAATAGCTAAATTGTTTCTTAAACAAAAACATATTACCTTCAATTACAGAAACGGGAAAGGCGAAGCAAAGAAAAAGTTTCGATTACTTCAACTTTTGTTACAATATTTAGTATCAGTTTTCCTGTATAACATACAGTGATTTAATTATATCGTCTATATAAATACTGAAACAAATAATCAAGAAGAAATAATCCCTACATATTGATAATTTGATATGAAAGTTAAGCGTATATACATTATACACATACACATATGCTTATTATGATATAGGTATACCTATGGACTTATTCTAAATTTCGAAAACATTTGGCAGGTTCCATAAGAGCTGAAAATATTTATTGAGCATTCCTTAAGTAATTTCTAAAGAAAATAGTGTTTTTGAAACAGCAACAGGAAAAAGCAGGTCAGTCTATGAAACAAACAGAATACCGCTAACAATTAACGGCTAATGGCATGTATTTCTCGCACAAAACTAAACTGTTGTTATTCCAAATCCGAAATAAAAAAGTAGTTGGCCCTAAACTAAATATTAATTCTGACCTTGAAAGGACTATTAAATAATGCTTGTATTCTATGCTTATTGTTTATCAGATTTGAATCTTCGGGAACTTTGAACCATAAGACATTCTTAAAGACAATGTTTTTGACATAGTTTTCTCATGAGTATACAAAACGTCATAATTTTATATGAGTATATAAAACTACTAGTAGTATATAAAAATACTACGTAGTTTTCTGTGAAGAGTTCGGTGATTGTTTTCAGAATGCAATCGCTGTTTGAGTATCCGGTAACAGTGTCAGCTGTCGAAATTCTCAACATCTTAGTTCGAGGGATAAAAGAATAAGTGGCGAGTTATCTTTTTTGTTTTACTAATGGATTTTTTATCAATTCTATTTTTCTTCTATTCTATATGTTTATTCTATGGTAAATAATTAAAGCAGGGATTGACGTCTTCCAACCAACTGCAAGGATTTTTTTAAGTTCACCCAATTCCAAGTTGCATTTAAAAGATACTCAGTGAAACGTGGCCAAGAGAAGTGTTACATTCGCCAATACACCCATTAGTTGTCAGTGCCTCTTATTAACCTATTTGGAATTATATTATACTACAATGCTTTTACTCAAACTCACAGACGTCTATAAGATTATAGAACCAATATTGCACTTAGTCAGAAAATATATTTCATGATTCTATATATAATTTCAAAATCATATAGGCATGACTCAAGCGTTTTTTTTTAATAATATCACCAGGAGAAGTATAGACAACGGAAAATAGAGACATTACTAGACTGGCTAAAGCGCGAGAACAGCTAATATTCCAGAAAAAATTACTAACGAACAGTAACCTTTAAAGTTTGACAGTATCATTAAATTCTAGGCTATAACATTTCACCGTTTCATTCCATTTTCAACGAGAGTAAGCACGCGATGAATGCTACAATATCCCAAGAGGGGGAGACTCATTCCCCTCGTCGAGGAAATACTCTGGGTCCCTAAGGTACAAGGTGACCTAGTATGCTTTTTGGGTCACTCTGTATTTATTATAGGACAGCGTAACGCAAGCGTACATAGCGATACTATTACTTATTGATTCGTTTATAATTACTTGGAGGGTTGAATAGAACTTAACGTGAATATCACGATAAAAATTTCTAACAGGAATATGTGTTACAAATTTCGTAGGAAAATTAAAATTTTATTTAATAGTAGAACTAGCTTTAAACGTATGCTTCGGTATGATATGACAACTGATCAGTGGAAGAATGACATGTTGGACTGATGCCATATAATAGCATAGAGACATGGCGTTGATGACGATGATGGACCGGCTATCCCGGCTGTATTAATGTTTACATGCATATTAGGTGATATCGACATAGTCACCCGGTAACAGTAACGGTATATGATGGCGGGGACCAAGGAAGGATGATAATCAAGTTAAATCACTTAGCCTATCGTGATGAATTCACTTGGAATTTACCACGATGGTTTCCAAGAGGGACCGTGTGGATGTGTTCCCAGTTACTAATAATCTTCTCCCGCCCGCTGTATTAATGTTATACGCTGATGAGCCACCAACGAAGGATCAATTTATATATTTCATACATATCATTTGATTCCTTCGTTGGTGCCTTATCCAGTGTCGTTTCGTGACGAATTCTATAGGGGTTAGCCACGATAGTTTCCAGGGGGCCTGTCTTCAAGGACGGAGAGTATTAGATTTATAAACGAGGCCTTTTAACAAGGCTTTTTAATAAATACCGACACATGTACCAATAAAGATGAAAGAATATACAATGATCGGGCAACAGGAACCCGATGTACCTATGTAAAACAGCGGAACTCGTGATCGAGATAAGCAGGCAGAAGTGCCATTACTCCTACGTTTGTAAGCGATTACCCAGTTAACAATGTGTAGTGCGATAAATACTCACCCGGTTTCGAGTACCTATTTGCATTTTTTGTTCATCTTTAATAGTTATGAATTCAAAATCAAAAGAGAACGCAGTTATTACATATAGCTTGATGAGACCGCGAAATATTATGGAATGGGACAAGTAATGAAATATATTACAAATTGCAGCCTTATCGAAAGTAGTTTATTAAACAACCATAGTTTGCCGAAATGCAATAGATATATTAATGTCAATACTGTACCGATTTGAAATAACTATGTAGATTTTTAACCAAAAATGTTGATAATAGAATTGCACTTTACGATTTTTTATTAATAATTTGCCAATTATATGTTATTACATATATACATTATTTATGTTACATACAAATATATTGTAACAGCACGTATTAGGTAATGCAACAAATTTCTAAGTCGTTTCCAATATAGTATCATGTCCGCAATAGACGGGGCCTTTGCGAATATGATACTATATTGGAAACGACTTAGAAATTTGTTTGGTGGGTCCTAACAGCTGACCTATGCATAGACTAAGCTAGATTCCAAACTTATTTTACAATTATAGATTTCTTAACTTCACCTTTAGTGAAACTTGCTTTACCACTGTAAGTTGCATTCGCGACTTGGTCTGTTCAAATCAATTGTAAATTATATTTTGATTACATTTTATATAAAATATAAGCTAATTATTTTTAAATGGCTGATAATGGAATGGTACACCCGCCTACACTAACGGTATGCGCTGGCTGGACAACAGTGGAGGATGATAAGATAAGCATGAAATCTGATCAGTCATGTATTTTAAAATATTCTACAATCAGTAGCCGCATCTTTTGATATGATCTAACTGTAGACCAACATTCCATGTTATGACGTAGTAACAAGTACAGAATATTGTTTCTTTTATACATAATATTTGTTACACCTACAATGAGAATCACTAGCAGTTTTATTAAAATTATATAGTAGGTATCTACTATATAATTTTTTTATATCACTTTTGTCACTGCACTCTGCTGTAATAAACTATGTTAGTTGTGTAAGGCTGTTTAGATGTGAGCTAATATAAGGTTAGGTACACAAGTAGACAATGTTATAAGATGTCCTAAATAATACAGTATTGAAAATGTGCAAATAGTATATAACATAGTAAAGCAACATGTGAGGAGAACAATGAACTCTCTATTCAAAGTTCAAAGACCAAAAATAGAGCCTTCATTAGATGACAATAGTAAGAAAAACAAAAACAACCAGTTATCTACTTGATTGTATAATAAATAACCGATGTGTACAACGGCACACAATACCAGTTATCTACTATGTAACGACAGCTTAATAGTGTCAAGTTAATTTACGACATAATTACTATTATAAATACTGACCTATTTTTGTTTTTATATCTAAACATTGTGATATGTGTGGGAACTGGAGGATCTTCCGCCACTTTTTGCTTTTGCCCTTGTTGCTATCGGAACCGCCTGGAAAGAAAACAAAACCATATTATTAATCATCGCTAATGAGTAGTAATACGTATCCAAATCTTATATATAAAATTCTCCTATCACAATGTTAGTTAGCATACTCCTCTGAAACGGCTTGACCGATTTTTATGAATTTTTATATGCATATTCACTAGGTCTGAGAATCGGCTACTATATATTTTTCAAACCCCTAAGGGTAGTCCACCCCTAACATTATTTTTTAAATTTTTGGGCAACATTTTTATTTATATTTTTTTATTATGTGTCATTAAAAAATACATACTACCCTAAATTTTCACCCTTCTATCAACAACGCCTATTTTTTTATAGCGTTATTAATTTATATGGCAAAACAACGTCTGTCGGGACAGCTAGTAATAAATATAAGGCTTTATCTCTGGCGGCTAGTATAACAATTACAAATAAAAGGGAGAAAAAGAAGAGAAGGGGAATGTGGCCTGATGACTTCTAGCAATTTACTATTATCATGTTAACCTACACGTGGTTCCCCCTGGAAACCATCATGATAAATTCCTTTTGAATTTGTCATGATGACCTAAGATCATGCTCATCCTATCATCCACCATAACTCGACTTTTCATATCTTACAGATAATAAATACTATAATATTGTAATAGAAAATTGGACCTTGTCAAAATGAAATATCAATAAACATTTATAAGACATCAGGTAATTAACAAAACAGACTAGATATACATTTAAATCTATTACAATTTAATAGCTACTACATCAAAAGGCCATAAATGGCTCGTCTTAATTGGATTTCAATAATAAATTGATGGAATTTATGTGCTGATTATTACCAGATAATTACAGACGGACCAAAACTTTATTAATTATCCGCATTAGAAGACTTTCACATGATCTTATTGGACGGCTAGCTCATTCGTTATTATTAATATTTGTCTAGGAGTTAGTGTGAATACAGTAGACTAACTGTTACCCGCGACTCCGTCCACGTGAAATTTATTTTTTTTAAATAAATACATTTTGTATAAAAAGTAGCCTAAGTTACTCCTTCTAACATTAGCTATATGCGAGTGAAAGTCCGGGAAAATCGAACCAGCCGTTTCAGAGATTAGGGTTAGATTGAAAATACAAACAAAAAATAGGACAATTTTTTTTTAATTTAATTTTATGTAAGTACCTTAGTAATATTTTCATGAACATTAAGCAAAAAATTGTGTTAATATGGAATTACAAACAGACATTTCTTTTATTTATTTGTATAGATAGTCATAGATATTGGTAACAAATCAGTATATAGAAGTATAATAAGGGCGTGTTATCAATGTGTAAGATTGAGATGGGTTATAAAAGTGGATGGAGCAAAATATATATTATAGAATAAAGTCATGTTGCATCCGGTTGTATCTTGCAAAGCCCGTAACGAATATTGCGTATAGTAACCGGTAAAAGTGTAAAATTACTCAGTTTCTGATATTCATTCTGTTTTATCTCAGAACATACAAATATAAACACAAGATACAATAAACAAAAACGATCACAGTAATTATACATGAATACCGTTTCGACATAAAAAGGCTCTCACAGAAACAGCATTTAAATTACCTCCCAAGCTTTTAACTTTCAGGAATTGACAGACATTTTATATAGATAGGTTAGGTAGTCAGCATTAGATACATATGTATAGTGTTAGGGACAGTTGGCTTACAAAGAAGTTTCTAAATGATCAGTGTTTATAACATAGGATAAAAACGCGATATAATGATATTTCAGAATAAATCACACAGCGCCATCTAGACCCTAGTTAACCAGGCTCGAGTTATAGTTACTAACCGACTGATATAAATACATATATTATACTTTTTTTGGAAATACATACACAGAAAATACCCAGACTGTTACAAACAATCATACTAAGAATAATAAATATCTGACCGTGCGAGGAATCGATCCAGCGCCATCGGAAAATAAGGAAGTGCGCTAAACCGCTAGACGACCGGAGCCGTCAAAATTGTGAAAATAGTTTCTACGCTTTTTCATTATATTGCCGTTCATTCTTTCTTCATGAGTGAATTAATAAATGAATATTTTTTATTAGTGCATTATCTACTAAATATTGATTACTAACGTGTATGTTGATTTAATATACAAATATATTTTAATATATAAATAAATATTTTGACAAGTTGTTTGTAGGTGCGGTATAAATTTCCCTAAAACTCACATTATTCTGATCCATAAAATATCGAAGATAAGTTAGCAAACAAGGAGAACACAGTACAGGGAGTATCTTATGTCGAGAGCCGGATACTAAAACTTCCACTCCGATATTATTTTTTGACGAGGTCAATGACAACTGTATAATAGGAAAAGAAATAAAGTTGGTAAGTAAATAAGCATTCAAGTTATTAGATCTGTATTAATTTATTATTGAATCTATAAGAACTAAAAATTCTGAAAGATTAAAAACAATGCAAACTTGAAATTCCAAAATGAGAAACAAAGTTATTCGTGTAACTGTAAATATAAAGAATTTGTGTTTAAGTCTTCTAAATTTCTAGACTTAAATGAAGGAAATACCTTGCTAATTTTAACGATTTAATACTAAATAACCAAGATTTTGATTTTTCTGGCATGTTTTATTTTACCAAGTAACAGGGCATCGTCGACAATATTGGGACCAAAAATATTGACATTGAGGGTGACGCAGATAGAATCGAGTCACAACGCGAACTTCAAAACGTTCGTGGCCCGGGTCCACCAACATGTTGTCCACGTTCATCAAGGAAGACTACTTGCCGGAGGGAGCTGTGTACCGCCGCTACCGTGGCAGATTGCCAAGTTATTATGGTGGCCACAAAGTCTTTATTAATATTTTATTATTTTCGGTATATGTCAGTCCTTAAGGTAATATACTAAGGGCTAACATTGTTATATAATAATATATTATATATTCGTCATTGCACTTTTAGTAGTAAGTAATAAACTAAAAAGTATACAGAGTGAGCAAAGGTGGACTTACTCGTATCTTTAAAGAGATCTCTACCAGTCCATATAATAAAGTACCAGATGTAAATAATATTAAATTGTCTGAAATAAATAAATAAAATACTCATACCATTTACGTGCTCTGGAGTAGGCAGAGACCACAATTATAATGCAACAATCATTAAAATTGTTCCCGAATATTAGAATTTCTTCTATGTTTTCAAACTTTCTTTAAAACTCACGGATGAGATGTTATTTCTAAAGAAGCACATAGTGTTGATGCAATAATAGTCGAAGTAGAAGTCTGAAAGTCTCTATGCTCTTCTATTTCTTAAAACGATAAAAAGTGTGTTTTCTAATGTTTCATGTTAATAAATAGCAAATACAAAAGGTTATTCTTATTTTCTTTACCTACCATATTACCTTTTCATGCTTATATTAAAAATAACAATAGGTAGGCAAGGTAGTATGGGTGTAATAGGCAAGGCGGGCAGGAAAATATACAATAGGAAGCGCAAATATTAATATAGGGGAAAACCTGGACAATGTATTGACATAACCACAGTTTAACCAATAATGGATTTGTGGACTGTACTTTTTATAGAGCTAAATACGACTAATTTGTACATGAATATGTTAAATAGATGACAGATTTAGTTCGTTATAACATGTTGGCTTAGTAATGTTCGACAATTATGAACATAATAAAAAAAATCAAGTTACAATATCAATATTATAAATGTGAAATTGAGTTTTTTTCTTGACGGCTTAATCCAATAGTCAATTAAAAATAATAATATTTGTAATAAAGACAGTCTGCTTTTTGTTCCAGCTAATCCAGGTCCCTCTGATGAAGTTGTGGGCAAATAGTCGTAAGATTAAGTACAACGAAAGAAGCGAATTAATAAATGTTTTAAAGGAGTGTATTTGTTAATAATGATAAATATAATACAACCCACGCAGTTCATCCTGGTAACGATTGGTGTAACGAATAAAATAAAACGAATAAATGAAAGAATGGTTAATTTCTAGTGAATCTGCTACGATGGGCTAAGTGACCTTACTTCATGCACATAGTATTATCCTACACTGGTGCTTCGCCAGTTTAACCAACGGGTTAAGAGTTAGTGCAGGCGAGTGTTCTATTCCATTAGCATTAATAATTCGTTTAGCATTTAGTCAATTGTGTGTTCAACGTAATGGACATTCGTAACATAATTCCATTTTGTTTTACATTTAAGTACGATTATAATATGATTGTCAATTTTGTACAATAGAACACTTTCCTTCCGTATAATTAATTACGCATCACATGGCTATATATATGACATATGACTATAATTCAATCGTTAGCTACTAACGTTTCTAAACACATTTATCGAAAAACAACCCTACGGAGCACCTGGTAATAAAAGCAGTGCAATAGAACTGTAAATGGTCGAGGAACCCTAAGGGGAGTTATTGCTTAGTGGGGATTTTTGTGTCTCAACGTTTATTTTTCTATATATTCACCTCAGATTTATGGTTTCTTAGTTGGTATCATATACCGAGATGCTGATACAGTACCTACCTTTTACCTTTAAACGTCGGATAACTAATTATAAGTTGCAAAGCCTCTAGATTAGTTCAAACGAATATAATACTTTCAACCTTTTTTACAGTACCTAAGTTTTTTTATATTAGAAAGTTTTTTATACGTTTACTAGTATTGCAACAACTACGATGAAGGATGAGGGCGTAATATCACTTTAAAAAATGCTGAAAGCACCGATCACAAAGGTATGATCGACCACATATGTGGTTATAAATACTAGATTGTGCTAATGAATTTGTCTGCACTAGGAGAAAAGTAAGCCACTTTCTTCTTCTTTTTAATATGTATCCCGGTCATTTCTCGAAACGTTCTTTGAGATATAAAAAAATCGTTTCCCATTCTCGTAATATCAAAAACTCATAAGGTAGATAATCGATCTCATATAAAAATATGCTCTACGACTAGATTACTATAATACATAATTAGG